GAAAATTCATAATCTTATAACAGAAAATTCATAATCTCATGGTTCCAAAGTGAATGTGTAGGCATGGTTCCAAAGTGAATGTGCAGGCATGGATTCATAATTTATGAATGTCCGTGATTTCGGACGGGAATATGTAGGCATGGTTCCAAAGTGAATGTGCATGCATGAATTCATAATTTATGAATGTCCGAAACTCCGAAATTATGAATGTAATGAAAATTCATAATCTCATAACAGAAAATTCATAATCGCATAACAGAAAATTCATAATCTCATAACAGAAAATTCATAATCTCATAACAGAAAATTCATAATCTCATAACAGAAAATTCATAATCTCATGGTTCCAAAGTGAATGTGTAGGCATGGTTCCAAAGTGAATGTGTAGGCAGTCACGTAATTAATTAAAAAAAAAAAAAAAAAAAAAGAAGAAGAAGATAACGGTGCACTAACACCGTTGGAACCGTATTCACCATGAATGGTGAACACGGTTCCATGGCATAACGTCTGGGTTCGGTAAAGACATATCAAACCTAATTAAGTCTTGCTATTTGTCAATAATAGCTAACCCCATTAAAAATACATATCTATATGAGTTTAACCAGAGTTTCAATGCAAGAGCTGATAGTTAAGTGCTACACTAGTTCGGGACTATCGATGATGATAAAAACATATTAAAAATTTTGTTAAAACTTGCTATTTGTTCAAAATAGCTAACTCTAGTAGGGGCATATGTAGGTAGGTTCACAGTTCACTTGTAGCATAAATGTTGACTTCGATAGTTAAGTGATACCTCAGCCGGCAATTTATATCCTACACCACGGCGCGCGTTGCACTATGCGCCCTGATACAAAACGACGTCGTTTTAATTATTTTTTTTTTTTTTAAATTTCCCGCCCCAGTGAATGGCAGTAGTTTTTTCTTTAAAAAAAAAAAACCGCTGTTCAAGAATGTACATAATGTTATACTAGAATACACATAATGTTATACATGAATGTACATAATTATATAACAAAATATACAAACTCTTTTTAAAAGATAATACACATAATCTAACATAATACATAATAAACATAAACTTTTAACATAATACACATCAACTCTTAACATAATACACACAAATTTTCTGATTTGGATGTACATAATTGTATAAAAAGAATGTACATAATTGTATAAAAAATACACATAATTGTATGAACCAATACACATAACGTTGTGAACAAATACACATAACGTTGTGAACAAATACACATAATCTCAGCAACTTCCTACCGCGCCTCCCAACACTACCCAAAACGACGTCGTTTTGGGAGGCGCGCGGCGCACAGTGCTATGTGCGCCGTGGTGTAGGATATAACGATTGACCTCAGCCGAGCTTGGCCAATGACCAATAAAAGACAAATCAATTTTGGTGATAATTGGCCACTTGCTAAAAGTGACAATTTCTGATAGGGTTCTTATTTTCCTGGCAAATTATTTGTGAATTCGGGTCCACCTAATAGGTGGATCCGAGTCCAAAATACACAATTTATATACTGAATGTTTACAATTTAAATACTGAATGTTCACAATTTGAATTATGAACATTTAGTAATGTTCACAATTCAAATTGTAAATATTCAGTATGTAAATTGTGTATTGTGTATTTTGAACCCGGGTATATAATATCATTGTTAAACTTTCATGCTTGAGTTTTTGGGCTGTTCTTGATTATGGTGGAATTGGGTATGTATACAAGGAGTTAACGAAGCTTTCATTGGTTGCAATGATTGAAATGTTGGGCTATTCATTGTGTTCTAGTGTTGAATGGTTTCAATTGACAAATTATATCATGGACTGGGTCTACATTGCATTATGAATCTTGATCCAAAATAACTTTCTGATTATGCATCTGTAGTTGATATATTTTGTACCTGTCGTCAACACTTTTATGTGCATGTAAATAAATTGAAAACACATAACATGTTAATTACAAACACTTAAAATGGTAAGTATAGACACATAAATTGTTAACTGTAGATACAAAATATGTTAACTGCAGCCACATAATATGTAGGGAAAATTGTAATTTATGCCCCTCACAAATATGTCAATTATCAATGTCACCTTGAATTATTAAGGGTGTAAATATTGCCCCTCAATTATCAAAATGTGATATATATTGCCCCTACCCTAACGAAACTGTGAGATCCCGTTATAATTTAGGGTTTAATAAGGTTAATTTGGTAATTTCCTTTTCCACTTTCTTTCCCTTTTCTCCCCCTGCACGTTGACTGGAGAACTCCGCCTCCTACTGCCGCCACCCAAGCCATCACCAGTTCTTGCACCACCTCCGGCTACTCCACCGCTAGTCGCGACACAAATATCAGCACCCACGCCAACCCCATCTCTCGGAAAGCACCATAGAAAGAAATTGAGACACAGGTACAAGAACCACCACACTCCAGCACCAACACCAGCCGTGAAAAGCTCGCCAACACAGCCAACAATACAAGAATCTGTGGACATAACACTTGTCCCTCTGCATCTCTTAATATTAAGAAAAACAGTCAAATCTAAGAAAGTTTAACATGTAGAAATGGAGCGAACTGAGAAAAAGTTGAAGCTTACCTCCAAGGCAAGCATCCATGTCTGCTCTTAAGGCAACAAAGGGGGAGGGGTTCCTGAACCAACGAATCCAACAACCCACGTTCCTGCAAATGGGTACTTGTAAGGAATCCCCAATTCATCCAATTTTTTCCCTAATAAGCTTACTGTTGTCAAATTCCTCGAACTTCAACTCAGGATTTTCATGTATCTTCTGCCTCATCCCAACTATCTAATCGGAAACCTCGGTTTTCTTGGCAAAATTAAGGAAAATATGGGGGATGCTTCAGGTGTAAACGAAGAATCTGACAAAACTATAGGAGAAAACGAAAAAAACAAAAAAAAAAACAAAAAAAAAAAAAACAAAAAACAAAAAAAAAAAAAAAAAAAACAAAAAACAAAAAACAAAAAAAAAAAAAAACAAAAATCAAGAGGGAGAAGCTCATGATTTCTACTGATTTGATTTTTATTGAATGAAACACTGTCAGCATTAAGAGGTTGTTCTGGAACCAAACGATGGAAGCTCGACGGAGGGCGGCGACAATGGAGGGATCAGAGGGGTTGAGATTATTGAGAGAGAGGGGGTTCTGGTTTTCTATTTTCATTTTTATTTTTATTAATTTTTTTAGTAAAAAAATAAGTGGGAGTTGAAAATTACCAAAAATAACCTTAATAAACGGAACTTTATAACGGAATCTCACCGTTCCGTTAGGGGAGGGGCAATATATATCACGTTTTGATAATTGAGGGGCAACATTTACACCACTAATAATTCAGGGGTAACATTGATAATTGGCATATTTGTGAGGGGCATAAATTACAATTTTCCCTAATATGTATCTTAAAGTTCCATTTCTTATTAACTACATAATTAGTACCCCCTCCGTCCCATTTTATGTGTCTGGTTCGGTTAACGAGGCTTAACTGAAGTCATTTTTAATCCAAGTTTTTATAATATTCAGTTTAGTATTAGTATACAAAATTTATATATTTAGAAAATACACTAAAAGTACTATTAAACACACACAAAAAATCAAATTTAAAATAAGTAAAAAGTATTAAAGAAAATAAACAAAGAAGAAAGAGTTGATTTGACCAATGAATAATAAGTATGACTAGGGATGGCAACGGGGCGGGGCGGGGCCGGGGGGTATACTCCACATTCCCGTCCCCGTCCCCGTCCCCGCGGGGAATTTGACGAGGACGGGGAATCCCCACCCCCAGTCAACCCATAGTCAATGTGTGAAAGTAATACAATTTTTAAAAATAAAAAACAAAAAAATTGAAATCCATAGTCAATATATTCTAATAATCTAATATATACACATTCAATATTCACCATGCATGGAATGTAATCAATATTCAATATATTTCAAATTTCAATTCATCAAATATATACAGTGTTTGAATAATACTGACTATGTTTTAAATTTTAATTTTAAAATTTAATAAACCTAATTAACTATATAATATAATATATATATTTTTAAATTTTCGGGGGCGGGGCGGGGAGGGGAGGGGTATCCCCGTCCGGCCGTCCCCGTCCCCGATCACAAAACTTTTCCCCGTCCTCGTCCCCATCCCCTACAGGGACGGGGCACATTGTCATCCCTAAGTATGACAGATAAAATGCGATAGAGGGAATATAATTTTATGAATGTTAGGCAATTTAAATATATAAATTTGCAAAACAATTGTATAATTTAAAGAATATTTTTTTTATATTATTTTAAAAATTTCTGTCAGGAACGGGAATAATTCCCTATCCCCGCCATGGAATGTGGTGAGGCCAGAGAACAAGGTATGAAATCATGTCCTCCTACCCTGCCCCATTGCCAAGTATAGACAAAACATGCTCGCATGGACAGCGTAGTTGGTGGTTGTGAGTATTATTATTATTAATTATGTTTATATTTGAATTCTCATCGTGGTGAAGTTTGTGAACAATGACACAGAATCGAGTCTCACCAACAGCAGTGTAGGAGCAACTTCTCAATGTTTGTGCGCAATAAGCAAAGGTCTAGCCTCTGGTTGACTACAACTGTATTAATTTTTTTTCTTTTTTGAAATACTCATAATTCTTTACAAGTTAGTATCTGTTTTATACTTGAATATTTTCAGCCCAACAAATCTAACTCCCACCAAGTTCGAATCTATAACCAATAGATCACTCACTTGTAGTGATAACCGAAATATCATCACACTACATGAAAGTTGACATAAGTGTACTGGTTTTATGCCTTTACTTTGTTATAACAAATGGATTTATCCATTATTAAAAAGTATTGTGCTTACTAATATAAATAAAAAGGAGTTATAACACTTTCGTTGTATTTACAATCCGTCCAAATCAACACATAATATAAAAGTTAAAAATGAACATTTTGAACATGTTAAAATATAAAACACAGAAATTACCACATCTAAACATGATGAATGTGATGAATTTTGTATAAGAAAGCTTCAATTCCCCATATACCAACTTGCTTAATTACCTAACAAAAGCCCACAAAGGTCACTATGAACAAACCATGGATTCATTAACAGTACTTTCCTCCCATCCCTCATTCAATTCACAGTGGAAACAAAAGAAGGGTATTTTACAGAAATGGATCAATGAGGGTACAAATAGCTTTTAGCCAATGAAGAGAATCAGAAACCCTTCTGAACTGATCTCTTTTTACAGATTTGCAGATGTTTACTCTCTTCTTCCTCTCCTTGAGTACTCCATTCTAACCGCCCATAACCGCTCTCCGACCATCTTCATATCTGGGCGATCAGCTCGTGTGGGTGCTGCGCACTGGAATGATAACTCGAACATTCTCCCCAGTATCTCTGCGTCTATCCTTTCCCTCATGGCAGGGTCTAGCATGTCCATTGTGTTCCCGTCGGTGAACTTCCCGAAAGCCTGCATTAGCATATCAATGGTGAGCCACAGGAATGGAAAGACCAATACCGTTGAATACAACTTTAATTTTGGGAGTGTTTAGTAAATATCTGTTAGTTGATTGTGTTAGTGATTTGACTAGTTGATAGCACGAGCTGATTGTAGAGAAGTGTTTGATAAATTAGTTGTTAGCTAATTACATGCAAAATGACTTTCTCAAAAGCTTTTCTCAACAGCTTTTTGAATTTTAGCATTTTGAAGTAATAAGCTATTACAAAAAGCTAATTAATCAAACACTCATATTGATTGTTTAACCAAGTCAAACAGCTAATAGTGGTCAAATAAGTCAAATTGACTGATAAGCTAACTATGTTACCAAATAGGGCTTTTATCTCACTAATCCGGCAAAATGCTTTGAGAAATGAATACTAAATATACGCTTTGTGAAGATGGTACCTCATGGAGCCAAAGTTTAAAGAACATAAATGTTTAAGTGAAAAGAGGAAAAGGGCTTACCCATCTGAGTGTGACCCTCTCCTCGGGAGGTTTCTTCATCTCCACAGGCCGGCGTCCCGTCAAGATTTCTAACAACAATACCCCAAACGAATAGACGTCACTTTTAGGCGTAAGTTGGTAGGTCTTCATGTACTCGGGGTCAAGGTAACCAACTGTTCCTTTTACTTTGGTTGAAATGTGCGTTTTATCCGCGTCAGTATCTCCCAGCCTTGCGAATCCAAAATCTGCAACCTTGGCTCGCATGCTCTCCGTCAAGAGAATATTGGACGACTTTACATCTCTATGGATAATTGGCTTCTCTGAGGAATATTAAAATAAGAATAAAGAATAGGAATCAAACTTTAGAAACAGCACCATGGGCTAGAAACAAGCCTTTGAGTATCTAGTACCAACTAAAAGAACATTTCACAGGAGAACAAAGAATTACAACCAGGTTGACAGCCCTAAATGCAAGATATACCTTATACAGGCCAGTTATTTATATAAAATCTGCCTTGGAAGTTGGAATGCAATCATACCATACCTAGCGGGTCTTTTGACTGCAACTACAGAGTATAAAGTTAAAATAAAAAGACCTTGTGGTCGAGCGACATAACTGTCTCTCAAATGAGAGGTCACAGGTTCGAACCCCGGTGGGGGCGTTAACTCTTTGTGCTTCAGTACGTTGAGAAAGTATGACTGAATAGATACTACAATGTCCCCGTTCGCACCAGGCTGGCCCAATTAAGGGACAAAGTGATGGCCAGATAGGTTTTTCCATACGAGAGGGGGTTCGAACTCCCGACCTCTCTTAAGGGACAAGAGTACACGGCCACTCACGCCAACCAAGCTGGTTAATAATTTATGCTCTTTATCACTTAGTTTACTGCATCTTTATTTAAAGATTAAGTAGTGTAGCTTGTTGCGGGTATAAGGAATTTTCTTACAGTTAATGAGAAAGAACTAATTTTGTAGGGAAACGGACTCACCAGCATATAAGTGGAGATAGGTAAGGGCATGAGCAACATCAATGGCAATCTCAAGTCGTTGATTAAAATCCAAGATTTTGCCACGAGCACCTGCCAGTAATATCGGTAACATGATTGTCATTGTAGTTTTTACCAAACATTGCAACTTGGGTAAATGCCTCAGGGTTAAATGCTTTACCATCTAGATGCTCCCTAAGTGTACCATTTGGTACAAACTCTGTGATAATAAGGCGCTCATGTCCTTTATCAACATAACCAAGCAGCCTGACTAAATTCCGATGCTCAATTTTTGCTAGAAGTTCAACTTCACTTTTAAATTCGCTGGTCAAAGTATCAACATGTTCCTGTAGAATATCTGGCGTTACGAACGTAAGGCATTTCATATAAATCTAAATATATGTATAAAATGCTGGAAACATCAAGAAACAAGAAATGTGTATTATTTCAGGTCATGTTTCCTTTTATACGTGCATCTTGAATTCAAAGTCATTTGAGGAAAGAGCGACTTACCTTTTTGGCACGTTTAATGGCAACAAACCCACCATCAGGTAGGTGGGCCTTGTAGACTGTTCCAAATCCTCCCTCACCTATCTTCAACGATGAGGAGAAATTTTGCGTAGCTCTGAGAGCCTGAGTCATATTCAAATGAACAGACCCGATTCTATTCAGTCCTGGTGACATGGAGAATCTTGAAGGACTTGGCGGGACACGTAATGGACTAGGCGGAACTCGTAATGGACTGGGTGGAACTTTTTCATGAACAGAATGCAATTCCAAAGGAGCAGAGGAATCCACTGCAAGAATAAGAACAATTTTATAATTTATATAAATTCAGATACCAAATTTCTACAACAGGAGGGGGAAATTTTGTTTTCAAATGTTTATCTCAAAGAAAAAATGTCAATACGTAAAACACACTTTTGTTCAATTGTTATACCATGGACCAGGGTTCATATTGCATTGTGAACCCGGATACAAAAATTCTGTCCCTTCAGTTAACATATTTTGTATCTACAGTTAACCTTTTCTGTATATGTAAACAAATAACTTGATAATTGCTGACATATAATATGATAGCTACAGGTACAGAAACTATTAACTGCAGGTACAAAATGTGTCAACTATAGATACAGAATCTGACTTAATAATTGCTGACACATAATATGATAGCTACAAGTACAGAAACTACCAACTACAAGTACAGAATGTGTTAACTATAGATACAAATTTGAAGGTTATTTTTGGACCAGGGTCTACAATGCAAGGTAGACCTTGGTCCATGGTATAATTTGCCCTTTTGTTAGGTGGAATGTACTTTATTCACAAAATATAACCAAATACGACTTAATCTCCGTTGCAGAGTATTGACAACGTCATTGAACTCAGTTTAATAATATAAAGAAAATGGAGATGATTTAGCTTACCTGAAACGGGGTCATTATCACTAACATAATGAGAAGATCCTTTCCTTTTTGCACGCAAACAGGGGCAACATATAGCACAACAAAAAATAAAAGATAATTGCGCTGCAATGGCCAACTTTTCCGGGGTAAAAATAGAGTTTTGAGAACGCTGATTCTTGTCTGCCTCGTTTTCAACAGAATCATGTTGTCTGGATCCTTCCTTAGCGTCATTTTCTAGTAGAAACTTTCTTCCAGAGGCAGAAGCAGATGTATCTGCAAAAAAGTAAATTCCAATTCAAGAAACTTAACCAGACATAAATGATAAATACACGAAAATTTTCTTGAAGGTTGGCATTGTAAGAATTTCAAATGTAGAGTGTACCTAGCAAGACGGACAGCCCACACTGCTGATATCCGACATTTCCACTATCGAAGCAACGGTTTGTGTCATCGATTATTAGGGATTCGCAAAACACATTCTTGTCAACTAATTCACCATTTATGTAAAACAACTCATAATGAAGGTCATCCGAAGAGCTGACATGGTAAGTTCCGCAAGCTTTAGAATGTTCTAGAAACCCAGAAGCAAAAATTATTGGCAATTGCACCAACAACAGAAAACTCAATACACCAAACGCCATTCTCAAAATAACACCGAGTAAATGCTTCATTTACTTATATCAAACAACTGCGGAGCCATTGCTGATCCCCCAACGTCACAACAAGCACCACTATCTGAACCAGTAGTCTTCAACTTCTAGTCAAGCAATTTGCAGCCTCACTCGTAAATAAGGCAAACCGTAATGGAGTGTCGTAGGATGGCTAAAAGCAAAGATTGAAATTCTGATAAGACCCAATCAGGGCAACATCAACCTTAGCAATCAGAGTGGTAATCCAAAATTGCCAGAAAGATGTGAGCTTTCATATTCTACAAAGAACTTGAATTTCACCCAGGCACTTCAGAATTGGACCAAAATTTTCAAACTCAGCCACCAACCTGACAAGAAGCACATAATCCCAAACTTTTCAACAAGGCAAAACTCAGATATCACACCCCCAAACCTCTAATTACTCTAAAAATTCAATCTTTACCCTAGAGAACCACCAAACAGCAACAAATTTGATCACATACCCAAATTACCCATCACTGGATATTCAATTACAAACAGATCAACAATATTCCTAAACCCCCAAAACCAATTCACCAACAACTCAAACAGATAAGAAGAGATATTTCGCAACTCCAACCCAGATAACAAAACCACCAGAACCCAAAATCCCAACACCCAAAACAGCTAATTTTACACCCTGAAACACTATTGGGAACACCAAGTATCTCTTAAAACTACTGAATCTGCAGCAAGTGCTTGTAGCCGAGTGTAGTGAGAGAAACGAACCTGAAATTAAAGGCGGCTGAGATCTTGAAGAGATAGAGAGAGAGATAGAGGAGAGAAGTGGTGGAACTGGAACTTGATTATTCAAAGAAGAAATCAAGCGGCCTTGCTGGAGAGTTGGTGGTGGGCTCAGACGCTCTCACACGCACATTCACACAGTGGTCTTTGGTCGACTGGCGCTACGCTCTCTTCAATTGATTGCGTAATATATTAAAATGAATGCATGCGTATGCATTAGGCTGGTCTTCGCTGACCCTCTGTATTGTAGACTTGTAGTTGTATAAATTCTGACTGGTCTACAGTCCATTTCTGCAACTTCACTACGTTACCTCCAAATGCAAGTTATCCAAACAAGCCTTGTGGTCACTGTCTTCTGAAGTTTTTTAGAAGATCTGTCTAGGGATAATGGGGAATTAGGGATGTTGAGATTCAAAGTCTATTCTCTAAAAATGTTGAACAAAAAATAGAAGAGAATATTTACATGTATAGCTAAGGAAGAATGATTGTTACAATAAATATTTATGATTACGGGTGATTATGCAAAATTCCTTAGCTCTTAAGTCTATCAGGATAGTGGAAGGTAAAATTATTAGAAATGTAAAATTTTATTTCTTCTAAAAGTCTGTTAGGATAGTGGAGGGATAAGTAAACCAGTACTGAATCTTATAATTGTCAAAATGTCAAAGTTCAATCTTGTATCATTGCTTAGAATTATCACATAAGAACCAATTAAGCTGCTTATACTGTCATATGAAAAAGGTCACCTTGCATACTCCCCAGGTTAGTTCTCATTCAATTTACAAAATAATTGCCTCTCCCAAAATATATTAAATGTGGCATTGCCCATCTTGATTTAGAAACTCTTGAATACCATTACTAAAATGCAATTTGACCAGCACTTTGTCTCTTAATTAAACTGGGTCAGTGCGAACGTGGATTAGTCTGAGTATGATACAGGCTTAAAGGTGTCTCCTATAGTTAGGGCATGCTCAGGACACCTCGTGATGGCAAATTATGTTGTGGAACCATGTCCACCTTGCAAGGTGAACACAGTTCCAAAACTGTTCATAATTATGAATATATGTTCAAAAATTATGAACATATAGTTCTATAATTATGAACATAGAGTTGTGAACATAATTATGAACATATAGTTCTGTAATTATGAATATATATATTCAATAATTGTGAATATGAAGTTCAAAAATTATGAATATATAGCTTTATAATTATGAACATATAGTTCAATAATTAGGAACATAGAGTTCTGTAATTGTGAATATAGAGTTCAATAATTATGAATATGAAGTTCAAAAATTATGAATATATAGCTTTATAATTATAAATATATAGTTCAATAATTATGAACATAGAACTGTGTCCACCTTGCAAGATGGACACGATTCCACAGCATAACGATTGCCTCATGGTCTGACCAAAAAAAAAAATGCAATTGTAGATCCATCTCATATAGTAGTTTGTAAAAATATTTTATTTCTTTAGAAAATCCCCGTATATCATACACTAGTTTATAAAACAATTTTAATGTGTGTGTTTTCTTCTTCTTTTTTTTTGTTTGTTTGTTTGTTTGTTGTATAATTAACGTTACTTTTATAGTTACATAAGCTTTCAATATAGAGTTAAAGTTATTGTCGATCAAGTACTCAAGTCTATACAAATAAACTTTTTACAAATTCTTATTATCTAATCTAATATAAAAACATAATAAGTCTTAATCAAAGTTATATCCCTCATTTATGTTCATGTTTTTAATGCTAATCATTTTGTACATTGTTCTTTTAAAGTTGTACTATATAATTTTTTGGACAAAAATACCCCTACCGTTATAACTTCCGTTATAACTATACATTGTTTTTGGACATATATGTTTTCCGCATCGCGCATAGAAAAGACTAGTTGTACTTATATGATTCATATCTAAGATATTACTTTAAAGAGTCATATATACTTTGGTGGCATCATTCTTTAGTGATTGTAGAAGTGGAGAAATGACTTGGTGTTTTCAAAGAACAATCTTCCTTTGAGCTCTAAGGTTACGTGGATTAACTGTCAATGCCAAGAGATATACATAGCTTCCTAGAAAGGGTGAGAAAGAAAATGCCGGCTTGAGCTTTGATTATCCACGAGTTGCGTTGAAGCAATGTTAATTGAAGATCAACATGGATTCCCTAGCATAAAGCATCATTATATTGTAACTCAACGCACACAGTTATTGAACTCTGATGACTTATATCTGTGGATTGATCCATTGTCGATATACACCACACGCTAAAGTATCGTTATAATAATTTAACTATAATTTTATTTAACCAATATACACTTAATATATGAGACATGATATTTAGTTTCATTTTTACACACTGTAATTTTATTACAACACTACTAAAGTATCGTTTTAATTCAACTATAGTTTTATTTGACAATATACACTCAATATGCGAGATATATTATTCAATTTCATTTTATACACACTATAATTTCATTACAACACCACTAATATATCATTATTTCAATTATATATTTATTTGACAATATGCACTCAATATGCGAGACATACTACTCAGTTTCATTTTATACACATTATAGTTTCATTTTATCCTAAACATGTTATAAACACATAATCAATTGAACGTAAACGACACTGTTTTAAATCATGGTCGATTGTATAATGATGGATCGTATAGTAGATTTTGGGAATAAGGGTCAAATAGACCATCGAACTGCACACGATAATGCAATTTGACAACAGAACCTAAAAAACCAACAATTTAGTCCTTAAACTATTCAATTTCAAACCATTCTTTCAATTTGAAGGTCCAACAGGTCAACAGATCATCTCCTAAATTAATTATTTTTTAAAAGATTAAATTTTAAAAATTAATTATTTTTTAAATTTAATTTAATTTAAAAAAAATGGACTCCGGCCGGAGACGGTCGTCTCTGGCGGGAGTCCTTTATTTATTTATTTATTTTTTTAATTTAAATAATTAATTTGTAAAATTTATTTTTTTAAAAAATAATTAATTTAGAAGGATAACATGTTGACCTATTGGAAACCTTTAAATTCGAAGAATTATTTAAAATTGATTAGTTTAGGAACCCAATTGTTGATTTTTTAGGTTCAGTGGCCTAATTGAATTATCGTGTACAGTTCAATGGCATATTTGACCCTTATTCCTAGATTTTGTGGCCATGCTTACCAATAATAATAATATTATTAAAAAAAAAAATAACTTTCTATTTGGATCGTAGCATTTTGAACGTTTAAACATTGAAGTAATTTCGTTTTATATTATTTAAACTCTTTATTAACTTTAAAACTTTGTATTAATGTTCATTTAAATTATCTACATTATAATTAGCTTAGTTGGTGTGAGTGGTCGTGCACTCTCATCCTTTGAAAGAGTTCGAGAATTCGAATCTCCTCTTGTATGAAAAAATTAATCTAACCAGCACTTTGCCCCTTAATTGAGCCGGCCCGATGCGAAAATATGGTACAAACTTAAAGGTGTTTCCTACAATTAGGGCTTGCACAGAACACCTCGTGGTCTAACCAATAAAAAAAAAGTTATCTAGATTATTTTATTGTTCAATTATTTATGTATTTTTACTTAAATTCAGTTTTAAATTTTTTGTTTTGGGCTAACCCACCCACGAACCTTGGTGGGACATGGAGTGCCCTAGTATGGCAAATTATGTTGTGCAACCGTGTGCACCACAGTTGCAAAAATGACACCGTTTTGATTAAAAACGCGCGTCCGACTTAAAAAAAAATTAGTTTCGATTCCCGTCAACAGCATTATGTTATGCATAATTTGAACTATATATTCAGAATGAATGAACTAAATACCCAGACTAAATGAACTAAATGTCCAGCATGAATGAAAAAAAAAATCAGTTTCGATTTCCGTCAACGGCGTTATGTTGTGCATAATTTGAACTATATATCCAGAATGAATGAACTAAATATCCAGAATGAATGAAAAAAAAAATAGTTTCGATTTCCGTCAACGGCGTTATGTTGTGCATAATTTGAACTATATATCCAGAATGAATGAACTAAATATCCAGAATGAATGAACTAAATATCAAAAAAAAAAAAAAAATTAAGTCAGACGTCGAAACGACGTCGTTTTCGCAACCGTGTGCATCATGCATGGTGCACACGGTTGCACAGCATAACGACTCCCCTAGTATTTTCTGGGCCACTCTAATGGCAAGTTCCTGTCTCGTCAAATGACGAGTTTAAAGGCAAATTATATCGTGCACTGCGGTGCATAATCGATTATGCACCGAGCTTCAAAACGACGTCATTTTGTTTAATGAAAAGAAACGACATCCGTTCCGCGCCGTTCCGCAAAAAGTAACTCTGTTATTCAGTTTCATTTTGTATACACTGCAGTTTCAGTTCAACACAACTACAGTTTCATTTCGATATAACTACAGTTTCATTCGATATTTTTACACTCAAATATGTGAAAATGTTATTTAATTTTATTTTATATACACTATAGTTTAATTGAAACAAAACTACATGATCATTTCGATATAACTACAGTTTCATTGCACAATATACACTCAAATATGTGAATTGTTATTCAGTTTCATTTTATATACATTGCAGTTTCATTTCACCACGACTACAGTATCATTTTGATATAACTACAGTTTCATTTGATAATATATAAAATAATACATGAGGCAGTGACAGTTTAGATACACTATAGTTTCAGTTGGTGATTAACACACACAAAAATGCGCACTCCGTTAACAGTAACGGCGTGCCATTTCTTTACTTAAAGAAACGGCGCCGTTTTGACCTCGGTGCACGTACACCGCGGTCCACGATATAACGACTGCGAGTTTAAATAGGTCCCGCTTCACAAACTCATTTTTATATATAGTATTATAAAATAGGGAAAAAGGGTCAAAAAATAGGCCCCTGAACATTACTCAAAAAGTCAA